GATACAAGTTTGGTTGTCACATACCTGTGAAGACCGCTGTGCAGTCCAACGAAGAAGAAGAAGGCCATAGTCGCGGAGCTCTACCACAGAGTAACGAAGGAGGTGCAAGAGGGAACGAAAGTAGAGACCGATGAGAGCAGTGAAGCGGAGCAAGGAGAAGGGAGAGACGACAACAACAAAAAAAAAAAAAAAAAAAAGAGAAGACAGCCGGGGTGAGGAAGAAGAAGCCGGCCACCATAGCCGGATTGCGAGTTGACCGGGCGTTGACCGGAGTTGACCGGAGTTGACCGGGCATTGACCAGAGTTGACCGGAGTTGACCAGAGTTGACCAAGAGTTGACCGGGGGTTGACTGCAGCGTTGACCAAGTGCTGACCAAGGCGCTGACCAAGACTGTTGACCACGATTTTGACCAAGCTGGAGCCGGTATAATCTCGCCAAGCTTTCAGCCTATCCCCTCGCCCTATGGATGTGCACACACCCTGTGGTACTTGCTGAGTCAAGTCTGTTTGTCCCTTCTTTCTGCATTGAGTCTCTTTTGTCCAGGTGATAGGACTCTGTGGATGAAGGATAGGGCCTTGTTGACCAAACCCACACGGGCTGAGTAGGGCTAAAGACTGTGTCTGACGACTCGCATGTCCCGGAGGACACGAACCCTCCCAAGGACCGGTACTGACCGGCGGGCTGCTCAAGGTGGCACGGTAGGCCCAAATCCGAGCTGTGGGCTGCACAACAGGCCGTCTAAGTCTTGAGAGGACCTGCTGATGGCGTCGTCCTGTCTGCGATGTTAAGAATTCCTGAGGAGTTACGGGGGATCTCCTTAAATGTCTCCTGATCAGCCACAGGTCCTGTAGTGACAGCCTTAGTTTAGGTCCAGGCTAGTGACCCTAGTTGACAGGATCCTGTCCGGATTCTGTAGCCCATAGATCGAGTCAGTAGGTCTTGTCAGTCAAGGGGGTAGAGTCTAAGTGGTGAGGAGTGGAACCGTTACCCGGTTGTGCACCTGACACCATGGTTGACACACATGGTGGGAAGAGTACTACCCCTTACACTCGTGCTCAGGAGGAGCAATTCGTCGCCATCCTGAGAGAGAGAAGAGAGAAAAAGGAGAAGGAGCACCTCAAGCCAGCTAAGGAGCAGGCGGCGAAGAAGAAAAAGTTGGAGATGTTAAAATTACAACACTAGGAGGAAAAAAAAGAAGGGTTGTCGAAGAAGAAGCAGCAGCAGAGGAGGAAGAAGCAGAGGAAGAACCCTTGGAAAGGAGGCGTGGGGGAGAGGAGAAACTAGTGGCACGAAAGCAAAAGATAAGTGGATGGAGAAGAAGATCAGTGCGTAGGTGGCTAACTTATCGCTGGGAAAAGATGAGGCAATGTTGTACGTGCCTCAGGAGGAGAAAGAAGCATTCGCCAAGGAGCTGGACGCTAAGGAGGACCCCCTGGAACGCCAGACGTTAGAAGATGAGAAGAGATTGGAGTGGAAGTTGCGTCTGGCAAGGGAAAAGAAGAGGAGGGAGGAGGCCAACCGGATGGCCAAAGAAGTGGAGAAGATTCAGACGTGTAGGCAGGAAGTGCAAGCACAATAGGAAACTCCTGCCAAATTAGATAAGATTTTGGGTTATCTTGAGATTCTGAATCAGGCCTGGCTTGAGCAACATCAGGCCAATAAGGGTCTGACCCTCCACTCCATCCGGACCAGCTTTAGAGAGTTTGTGTGCGACGTGGTAACCCGCGTCGGGACCGAAGTTAAAAGGTTGAAGGAAGGAGCAGAGAAGTTTTGTGTCGGCGCCATTGAAGGCGCCAAGGTAGTGGCCGCAGCAAAGGCCGAAACGCGACCCCGCAAAAAGCCTGTTAAGATCAAATTTCCTAACTCTTATAGCGGGAAAAAGAACGATAATTTTGATAACTGGGAGGCCAGCATTAACACATGTCTATTTACAGCATATCGCGCCAAAGGGACAAGTCCTTGTGGCCTTCCGTGCACTAAAGGACGAAGCGACCAATTTTGCTAGGTCCCTTGTGCGCGCAGCCGATTGTGAAAACAATATGGTTGCATACTCTAGGCTCACCCCTCTTTCCACTTTCCTCAAACTCCTGCGATAGAGGTTCGCTGACGTCACAAGGGGCGTCAGGGCCTCCGACAAGCTTCAGACCATCCACTCACGACAGTGGAAGAGTGCGCGAGCACTCAAAGTTGTCATGGATGACTTGGTAGCCGTCCCAGACCACGGGGTCACTGAGACCCAGTTGGTCCAATTTTATCGTGCCATGCCAGAGCCCCTGCGAGGGCATTTCTTTGATAAGACCCAACAGGCCTATAACGTAAGATGCGTTAAGTAGAGAAGTGGTACTGTTTGACGCAAAGTCCATGCCAATTTCCACTTTCTGGCATAAGGACTTAGATAAGGGAAAGAAGTGGAAAGGTCGTACCATCTCAGGTCACGTTAGGGCCAACGATCACCTGATCCTTACGTTGGATGAGGATGGTACGGACGAAGTCCCCTATAGTCAGATATAGTGGGGGCTAGAGGAGGAGGACAGCGGTATGGGCCAGGGAGGACCTATGCTGCTCTCACGGCTGGAGGGAGGCCGCAAGGTAGAGGAGGCCAAGGCCAAAGGGGCCAGGCCACGGGTGGTCAAGGACCGGGCGCACAGGGGGTTGGCGGCCAAAGGAACCACCAAGAGGGAGGCCGGGGTCAAGGTCCCGCACCAAATCGTCAAGGTCCTAGTCGGTCCCCGCAGCGACGAGGTGGAGGATCACCTCAGAGGAGAGGAGGTTGGCAACCAGGCTGACCACAAGGCCGTCCTTGGGAAGATCTGGGCCTGGGCCAGCGAGTATGGCAACAGCGTATGGACCAGGGTCAGTGCATATACTGCGGTGACCCGGACCACATCATTAAATATTGTCCAAGGCCCGATGGGCTGCCCAAGAGTCAAAAGGCAGCCGCCGGTAGGGGTTGCAACTGCCCCTACTACAAGGCCATGTGGGGAAGCGA